AGAAGTGGCACGTGCACACGCCCACAAGCAAACTGGTAGTGAACGAAATTGAAACCCACTACTGGTATGTATGTATGTATGTATATTCTAAACAAATAAAGTTTTGATTTTGTTTATTCCCTGGAGACTGATTTATATTTAAAGAGGGGGAAGCAAGAACTGAATCCTCTAGTTACCAAACCTCTATGCCACATGGCCAGAAGAGTAATTGTAATTGTAATTACTGTATTTTTTGGTGTATAAGACGCATTCCCCCACAAAGTGGGCCAAAAATGGGGCACGTGAAGGCCAAAAATGAGGTATGCGGAAGCAAAAAATGGGGTGTGTGGAGGCCGAAAATGGGATGCGCGGAGGCCGAAAATGGGGCGCAAGGAGGTGGTGATAGGTGGTGGCAGCGATAAGTGGTGATGGCAGTGATGGGCGGCAGTGATCCCCGCAGCCTGGAACAGCTGATAAGCGGTATTCCGGGAAGCCGATCCAACCGCCAATCAGCTGCTTGTGCTAAATCAGGCTGTGCTGAAGCTGACCAGGCTGTTTGCTGTTTGCTGCAAGGAGGCAAATTGCTGGGAGGCAGAGGAGAGGCAGATTTTTTTTTGTTTTGTTTTCCTCCTCAAAAGCTAGGTGTATCTTATAGTCCGGAGCGTCTTATAGTCCAAAAAATACGATATTTAGATTTGTTTGTTATTGTTTTGTATTTTACTTTTTAAGTGACAAGCAGCATAAGGTAAGAAAGCCCTTTCCATGAAGTTATGAGATCACAGATGAAATGCCCTTGGAAGATAGATAGCAGCCATAGGAATTGCCATGCTTCTACCTGAAAACAGAAGTCAGGACCCGGTTGTGAAGACCCAGATAGCTTCTACAAGAGGAGGTTAGGGACCTCCAGATTCTCACTTGTGGATCTCAGCCCTGCTATAGGATGGCCAACTAGATACTTCCACAAGGCCTAGAAGAAATATATGAAGACCTTGGCAGACAAGGCATATATATTCATTTGACTCTCTATATTTAAGATAAATTGTTCTGAATGACCACATTAGTGATAAACCAAATGCTTCCAATTTTCAGTAACAAGTGAGAATATAATTATTTTGTAGAAGGCAGGTAAAAAAAAACCCTACTCATAAATTGGAACAAATGGTATTTTAAATCAAATCATTTAAGAGAATTTAGCACTTGGGTCTTATTTAAAGTTTAGTTTAAAGTTAGTATTTCAAAGATATACTGGGAAGTGGTTTGAGATTAAAAATATTTAATCATTTTAATACATAAAATATGCCAGATGTCATCCCCATTCCCAGCTGTAATGATCTGCAGCCTCAGAAATCAGAAAAACCTTTGCCTAAGAAGAGCAATTCATCTATTTTTGACTCCTTTAGGCTATTGTGTGATCTCTAGAAACTCATTTTCTTTGGTACCTTCTTACTGGATGTACTGTTTACAACCTTTATCATCTTCATAAGAAATTGTCAGGTAAACAGGGGGGGGAAATCAGATATTAAGAAAAACTGGATTCAGAAGTAATTTTCTTGTCAGAACAGTATATTTGCAGTGGATTTATATAGGTAATTGGCTTGCATTTCCTTGGTCAAAGAAATTTGTGCCTCTCCCATGTAAACATGGGGGAGACACAAAGAATGGCATAAAGATCAAAATTCTTTTAAGGTTAGAATAAATATCTATACTCCAACCTATCTGCCTTCTCATGTTCATGAAATTATTTATAAAATAAGAGAATGCTGGCATATTTTAAGGAATGGGCAAGCAAATTCTCTGTTATTCTTGGCAAGGGGTGAGCTTATTTTGAAAGACAATATGGATAAAAAAAATTCTCTTTTATTTCGCTGGGGTGTGTGGAACCTTCATTACCATAGTTGTTCTTAGCAACCTAGCAAAATTCACTTCTAACTCACTTCTAAAAATGAAGCTGCATTATGAGATCATGACATTACCTCCCCCCCCACCGTAGCATTACTATAGAAGATGCCCTCTCCTAAATTAGAAAAAAATACTGCTTAACAATGTCAGAGGTAGGCTAACTGCTACCTGCAATGTCATCAAAAATATCCTTCAAATTTGCTGTATTGAAGAAACATCTCTCCACAACTTTCAATCCCAGCTTATTTAGAGCCCTGAAGGCTCAATGTTAAAGCATGATTTGCTAAAACATTAAGGGAAAAAAAATGATCCGATGAATAAATAACTTAAAATGCACCACTTTTATGTGTAAAATATACTTTTATTATATTTTAATTTGAAAGTACTACGCACTGGATTTTTAATTATTTTCTACCATGACATACATTTTTCTAAATAAATCCACCCCTGCTCTGATAGAATTGCTTTTTAATTGTTCAGAGGAAAGGTTAGTAAAAAAAATTTGCACTAATTTGCCCTTTGGCTGACACAATACATCAATATCTTACTCTACTCCCATTCTATGCCTTGAAGGAACTTAGATAAATTGCCTTCTGCAAGACCTTGGGAAGGCAGCCCTGGAGGGCACACTTTGTTTGGGTATCCCAGGCCATTCAGGGGCAGCCTCTCACTGATGCCACAGCTGGCTTTCATGTAAATCACTGGGCTTTTCTCTCCAGATTGCTCTCATGAAGGCAGATAACCATCTCATTTTATTTGGTATCACAAAAAGCCAAGGTTCCCTTTCCCCACAAATGGAGACAAACAAGAGATACAAGCTGTCTAGAAATAGAGAGGATTTTTTTAAAAAAGGAGGCCATTCCCAGAATCCATGTGGCTGACTGCCAGTTCTCTATCACCTTTCTGGAATGTGGGGAGGATGTGCAGCATTTTTTTCCCTTGAACATTTGTCTTTCTCACCCTGTAAACTCTACCCTGGTAAGCTGGCTTTCCTCAGCCTCTGGCTCTCACCTTATGTGGCTTCTTTACCTTTCTTATGTCCATATAAGTCACCTAGATTGTTCTCCAGCCTTAGCATTTGTATTGCCCTGTATATCATGCACCCAATTTCTTTCTATTCCTTTGTAATAAGCATAGCACCAACATAGCATAACAATGTAATATGTTAATAATAATGTAATGTAATTAATATAATAATAACATAGCATAGTCTAATGAAGAGAAGGACTAGGGTGTGACATTAGCAGTCTTCCAATATTTGAGGGTAGTCACAAAGAAGAGGGGATCAGACTATTCTCCAAAACATCTAAGGGCAGGACAAGACACAATGGATGGAAATTAATCAAGGAGAGAACCAACATAGAACTAAAGAGAAATTTCCTGACAGTTAGAACAATTAATCAGTGGAACGACTTGCCTCCAGAAGTTGTGGGTGCTCCAGGACTGGAGGTGTTTAAGAAGAGACTAGACAGCTATTTGTCCACAACTGTATAGGATCTCCTGCTTAAGCAGAGTGTTGGACTAGAAGACCCCCAAGGTCCCTTCCATCTCTGTCATTCTGTATTCACCCATATTTCTCTTTTCTTCACCTTCTATAGTAAAACTATTTAAATAGCTTTACACCCAAACACCCTCAGCGCACACTGTATCTAAACTTCCCTCTTTCTTTTTAACTCCCCCTTTAGTTTTTCACCTGTAACATTTCCATATCTCACCATCCTCATCTTGCACTATTTCTCCTAGAAGCCAATTCCCATCACTCCTTCCTAAATATGCTCTCTCTTCAGAACTAATAATGTAATTAGTTCCATTAATAATAGAACTAACTATATTATCAGTTCTGATTCATTTTTTAATCACCTATCAATTTTTCATGGTAACTTTTTGCTCTTTAAATTGATAAAATAGTTGCTGATTGTAACCACAGAACATATTCCCCTTTCCTGAAACCCCTTTTAAAAAAAAACACATTAAAAATGCAATCCAAAATTTATTTTGGATGAACTAAATTGATGAGCATCTAGCACAAAAGTAGTCATAGCTCACCTATTTTTACTCATATCTCTAGTTTTTTAAAGACTTCCGTTCTGTACTCTAAGATTTAAACTGCAGACACCTCTATGCTAGAGTCCACATAATTTATTGGCAATTATATTTCTTCACAAAGATGAAACAAACTCACTTGATGCTCAACCTCATGATTCAAGACATGAGTACATAGGAAGAGATCTTATCCCAGTGTCTGAAGGCTGTGAGGGTCTGGATGGGAACAACAGGCTTCAGCTGAACCCTGGCACTGAGTGGCTCTGGACTTTGGGTCCCATTAGTTCCACAACTGGTTACATTAGCCATCTCATTAGAGCTAGATCTAGACTAGGAATGTTCTGGGTAATATCAGCGTGGGTTCAAGGAGATGTGCCTTCTTTGTCATGACAACTACCATATAGAACTTTCTCCCCCCCCTCCCAAAAAAAATTGGATTACTTCTATCCTTTTTGACATTCCAGAAGGTCCTCAAGACCTGGTTATGTAATCAGGTCTGGAGGTTCCACGAAACCAGAGACATGCTTAAATGGTTCTTTGCCTACTGTTTATATTTCTGATTTTATAATATTTATTGTTACAGTGCTTTTTTAAAAAAAAAAAATAACTTGTGGTTCTTTACATGTGTTTTTCCCCCATTTATTGTAGGCCATTCAGAATCACCTTCAATGAGATGGGAGGCTATGTAAATTTGTTTAATAATAAATAAGAGGCACTGAAATATACAAACATATACAAATGCCCACAAAGCATTTTAACTGAGAAATAACTGCAAGAAAAAAAATAAATGAAGGGGTGTACAAAAATGCACACATTCTAAAGCAATCTATCTAAAAATGTGTTAGGAATTTTTAGGCAAACTTTTAAGAAACAAATTCACAAAGTGGTGTTGAAGTGAGACACACCAATTTTAAAGGTAGGAAAATAAAAACCACAATAAAATTGAACATCAGATTCCCTACAAAATTGTGAGGTGTGAAATGTCTGCTCATCAGCACTATAGTCTTGAGTGGACCCAAAGGAACCCTGTTGAAACTGTTAGGCAGAGGAGTCTACAGCATATGATTGTAAATACTCACAGTTCTTTATAGGTGGCATCATACAGAGTCGACCACTTGTTCTGCTGATGTGGCTGCCATTTTATAGATTGGTAGTTGGGATCCAAGTAGGAAGAGCTGTTCAAGCTGTCATTATCCTGAATCAGTCCTACAGCAATAAAAAAAAAATGAACTGAAATTTGCCCATATACCTGATGCAAATGCTACTTTTCTATTCCTCACTCGCAATGCAACAAAACCCATAAATTTTTAATTTTTTTGCCTTGTATTCATTTTACAACCACAATTGGGACCAGAAATCTTGTTGCTAAGCAAAGTATCATTGTTGGAAGCTGACTGGGAAGGTTACAAATGGAGATCGTGTGACTGTGGGATGCTGCAACCATTGTAAATGTACAACAATTTACAATGCGCCTGATCACAGTCACATATCAGTGGGAACACTCCAACAATTGAAAGCATTTTTCAGCACCATTGTAACTTTGAACGGTTGCTAAATGAATGGTCGTAAGTTGAAGACTAACTGACATCAGTTTTCTTTTCTTTTTTTAGAACTGATGAGACTTCTCACTTCCCACTCTCAATGTGGTTGTACAAAGATGCTCTTTCTGAAAATACACTGCCTTTCTGTGAACTTCAGTCCAAACCCCATACCTTTTCTCCATGTACTATTTAATAAAAAAAATCTACCTCTTTGGAGCATAAATAGTATCTGGGTACTGGTAATACTAGAACGGAACAGAAAGAATAACTACAGTACAAACCTGGGGAGAGCGCCCCCTGCTGATGCCAGGGAGGTGTCTGAACTCTTTCAGAGGTGAGGGGCACAGATCCTGTACCTGGCTCCTGTTTTATCATTCCATTGAACATCTGGGCATTGAGAGTGTTTGATGGTGACTCTGAGTGTTTCCTCTTCTTGGCAGGGTGCACTGGAAGTCTGTGGAAATCAATCATAAATTACAACAGGCATGCAAAGGAAAAGTTTATTCAAATTGAGCCTATGTATGTATGTGTGTATGAGTACATATACTGTATATTATATAAACATACACATGCACACATCTTGTATCCCAGACATAAAGTTGTCCAGTAGGAAAGACTAAATTAGATTACTAGCCTCCAACTGACAGTCACAACCTGACTTACAAGAGGCAAAACGGTTCCAGCCATAAATGTACTCCTCTGGTACCTTTCCAACCTTGTTCCCAAAGAACTTACTCTGCTCCATGTTGTTGAAGTAGCTGATGAAGCATCTGCGACTGCTGAGCATGATGGAGGTCACCAGGTGACATGCCTTGTCCTATAGTGAACTGTGGCATCAGAGGCTCAGCCTTCGCGTACATGTCCCGTTGCATGCTGGGATAGTGATGGCTGTGCTGCTGCTGGTGTGAATGAGGAGGTGGTGGTGGTGGCAGTCCCTGAAGGTGGGGTGGGGGTGGAGGAGGCGGAGGGGGTGGGGGATGCTCTAACCGTGAAGGGGGAGTAACTTGACACATATTCTCAGGAGTCATAGTTCGAAGAAGGTGAGGATCTAAAAAGAACCAGAAAGATGGATTAATCTAAATGAAAAGTGTCAGTTCCCTGTTTTCAGAAGTCCTAAACTATGATCAATCATCCCATTTCGGCTCTCAGTCAGAACAGCACAAAATAATAAATACAAAATGTCAGTTCAATAATAGAGACATTCCAGGTCCTCTCCTTAGAGTTTCAGCTTTCATTAAAACAACAAGTAGATTATCAGCTTTTTCATCAGTAGTTGGGAGCTGCATGGTAATAATGCAGCAATGTTTGTAAAAGGCAATGGCCAGATTTCAGCCCTTTTTTATATTTTAACAAACATTAATGGGGTACTAAATTTAATAGATGCTCACTGAATCTATGTTTATTTCTTGCTGCATTTGATACAAAACTGTTAATTTTATGATTCTGATTCTGGTTTATTGCTTGTTGCATGTATGTACGCTGAGAGTTTATGCACTGGACACAAATTCCTTGGGTATCCAATCACACTAGGCCAGTGGTGAAATGTAAAATTTGTTACTACTGGTTCTGTGGGCATGGTTTGGTGGGAGGTAATGTGACTGGGTGGGCATGGCCAACTTTTTTTTTTCTTTTAAAAGCATTTTTTCTACAACCTCTTTGGCTGAAGAGGTTGTAAAAAAAATGCTTTTAAAAGAAAAAAAAAGCTTCTGACGATCGGGCAACTTAGCTGGAGTCGTCAGAGCCTTTTAAAAGCATTTTTTTAAAACAACTTCTTCGGCCAAAGAAGTTGTAGAAACAATGCTTTTAAAAGGCTCTGACAATCCCAGCTAAGCCGCGCAATCATCAGAGGCTTTTTTTTTTTACTTTTAAAAGCATTTTTCTACAACAAGAGGTTGTAGAAAAAATGCTTTTAAAAGTTTTAAAAAAGCCTCTGATGATCGCACGGCTCACCTGACATGGGCGGGGCAGGGATTTTTGCTACCGGTTCTCCGAACCACCTGCCATCATCACTACTGGATCGGGTGATCCGGTCCAAACCGGGAGCATTTCACCCCTGTTCTTGGCCAACAAATAATTCTACTTCTATTTCTGTTTCTGTTTCTATTCTATTTCTATTCTATTTCTACTCTATTTCTAATTCTAATTCACTCCACTCCACTCCATTCTAATGTTACCTGAGAGCAGGGGTGAAATGCTCCTGGTTCGGACCGGATCACCCGATCCAGTAGCAATGGCAGCGAGTGGTTTGGAGAATCCCTGCCCACCCCCATGCCCAGCTGAGCCTTGTGATCATCAGAGGCTTTTTTTTTTACTTTTAAAAGCATTTTTTCTACAACCTCTTTGGCCAAAAAAACCCTTTAAAAGTAAAAAAAAAAAAAAGCCTCTGATGATTGCGCAGCTCAGCTGGGATCGTCAGAGGCTTTTAAAAGCATTTTTTTCTGCAACCTCTTAAGGTTGTAGAAAAAAATGCTTTTAAAAGTAAAAAAAAAAAGTTGGCCACGCCCACTCAGTCACATTACCCCCCAAGCCACGCCCACATAACCGGTAGTAACTAATTTTACATTTCACCACTGCCTGAGAGCTTCTCATTGACTTTCAGCAGTGTGACCTTGACCACAGCCACAAAAAATGGCTTAACAGCTGCTTATGTCCCAAGGACTATGGGTTGCTCATATCTATCTATCTATCTATCTATCTATCTATCTATCTATCTATCTATCTATCTAGTATGAGCAACCCGCAGTCCTTGGGCCATAAGCAACTGTTAAGCCATTTTTTGTGGCTGTGGTCAAGGTCACACTGCTGAAAGTCAATGAGAAGCTGTCAAATAACACACAGACAGAGAGATAGCATGTACATGCATGCAATTAGTAAAATAAGTCTGAACCACGTTACTTAATGAGAAATAAATTTAGTTTTCTATCAAATGAATTAGAATTTTAGGAAATAGCTAGTATGAATATGTGCATGCATATCTGTGTCTATGTGCGTCTGTATATTACACAAAATGTATTAATTATAGCATTTAAATATATTTAAATATGTGTTGTCTAGAATAAATGAATTAAAAAAGAATAAGAACAAACAAGTTCAAATCCAGCAAAAACACTATCAGGCAGTAGCTAAATTCATACTGGAACAAACTAAGGAATTTGAGACTGCAGAGAGCCAAACAGAGAAATGTGTTATATGATTGGTCTGATATGATCCTTCTGCATGATGGAAAAAAGCTAGAGCTAGTTAAGTTTATATATCACAAGAAATATTGACATTTGCTTATTTCATGTTCTGACTTTGTTCTGACTTTGTTTATAGAAATAAAGAGCAGTAATATAAAATAAGAAGCTAACTACATTTTTTAACTTTGGTCTCCTACTAATACTCTCTCCAGAAATATATATTAACTATATATATTAACTATCAGCTTCTTTGTAATTATTCTGCATTCAGATTCTAGTTTATTACTGACTATACACCTCTTCCCGCTCCACTTTTACTGTTTATTCTCCCCATTCAAAGCTGCACTTATCATTTGATTTCCTTCTTTTCAGTTCTGCCCCAGGAACTTTTTTCTACCACACCAACATGATTCTATTTTCTTCTCATTCCAATGCCATGAATGAGATAAGCTGAGGTCATATTTAACTGTATTGAAGTTGAAGTAATGTTTTCCACCTTATTCTGACATTATCTAGTGAAGGGAAATTAAATTACTGGCAGTGATTAAGAACTGAGACAGAATAGGAATTAAGGAGGGAAGAGCAAATTTAATGTTAATGGTTCTTTGTCAACTCAAACATGGGTGGCTAGTTCTATAACTTAGTAATGGAGAAAGATCCGTTGTCTCTTAAGACAATACTGAATCTGAAAAAGCATGAAATGTTGGATAAAAATACACTAGGGTCCATACAGAGACACAGTAAATTTTCTATTTTGGAATAGAACATTCTAGAAAATAGAATTAATAACCAACCTCTCAGCTTTTCCATGTTTGAAATAATAAACAAGTTTGCAAAATGAACTTGATGGATCCTGTTCAAGGTTTAATTTCAAAGTAGTTCATATAGGAACCATTTTACTCATTTGAGCAAATCATCATTTCCAATGATAAATACCCATTGCATGCCACTTGGTTAGCAAAAAAGGAGCCTTGGTAGTAGAGTGGTTTAATGCACCCTGTTATTAACACAGCTGCCTGCAATTTCTGCAGGTTCGAATCTTACCAGGCTCAAGGTTGACTCAGCCTTCCATCCTTTCTAAGGTAGGTTAAATGAGGACCCAGTTTGTGGGGGCAATAAGCTGACTTTGTATAAATATACAAAAGTATGAAGGCTATTGCTTAACGCATTGTAAGCCGCCCTGAGTCTCCGGAGAAGGGCGGCATATAAATCAAATTAAAAAAAGAAAAAAAAGAAAAATACAGCAAATCCTTTCTCTTATCATTTTTGGGAATGACCTATAACATATGATGCTCATAATGTTTGTGAAGGTAATTACATTACTGAGGCAAACTATAAAGCAAACTTCCGAAGGAAGTTTTGCCACTTAAGGGTAGTGCTTAGCATAATAAGCGTCCCATCATCCACAGCTATCATAGCTAATGGCCAAAACAAGTGGTAGTTGCAGTCTATCTCATTTAGAAGGCTATAACTTGCAGAAAGTGTCTGCAGAACATTCACCAAAGCCCTTGACTCAAGTTCACATCCCTCCTTAGTACAACAGATTGAAAGTTTACTTAACTTTGAAGCGTGATTTAAAATTGGAAATGTATATACAAGGCTTTGCTCTGTCAGAGTGTAGGGCTAACATTCTTATTAAGTCAAAAAGGTTCCATTCAAAGCCAAAATTAACATGCTTTGAATTATAAGAAACTCAGGAGGTAAAAAAGACAAATCTGCTTATAGATATTGGTTTTCCCTCAAGCTTACTAGTGTGGCCTTCTCCAAACTGGTGTCCACCCTCCAACTGAACATATTGTCCATTACCCACAGATAATACAGGATGTGATTGTAATGGTAACACATGGAAGAAGAATGGAAGAAGAGGGTTTAATTTTGATCACTATTTGGGCCAGAAAAATCAATAACAGAAGCAAGTATTATTATGGTTCAGAAAGACCAGTAATTCAGCCATTCTTCCATCTCCACCCTGCAATCAAACAGCACTTTTAACTATCCACATTCCATTTTAGGATCAATAATTAGAAATGGTCAAAATTGAAGAAGCTATTTAAATGTTAAAGCAATATTAAAATATTTTTATAGATGTATATTATAGGGGGTTGTTTATCCTATGATGTGTATATATGTAAGTGTGGGTGTATATACATAAATACAAATAAAGTGGATTTCATGCACATTTTATTAAACCACTTTTACAAGGCAGGCTATAACAAAACAAACATATGAAACAGTGTCCTTGAACCAAACTTTTTATTTAGCAATGCTGTGAAAATAAACTGGGTGCCTAAACTATTCCATTATATATTTTAGCTCATATGAGAAGCGAGCAGTGTGAGTTCATCCCAATTCTGAGTTCATCCTAACTCTGTTGGCCACAGTTTGATAACTGGGAACATCTTATTATTTTGTACTGATCAATAGTACAATGATCAGTGCAAAATAATAAGACATTCAATTCATCCAATAGGTATACTTTTGTCCTCATTTCTTGCCATCATTATTCTCTGATTTCAACTTCCCAATATCCAAAGGTTCCTCTAAAAAATCCACCCACAGAAAACAAATAAGAACGAGAATTCAAAAAATGAACATTCTCTTCAAACAAATTCAGACTTAGTGCCCTTCCAACCTTTTAAAGTTACTGGAGTGAAATAGTTAATGTTCAGGGCAATTAATCAGATTCTTCTGTAGGAGGATGCATTAACAGAGGAAGTAAAAATGATTATGAAATTAGAGGTGGGGATTAAACACAGAGGAGGCTGACATAAAACATAATAAAAAAATAGCATTAGCACTTCCCCATTTCCTTTCTTAAAAAATAACTATTACAAAATCTTTTTGTGAAGTTGGGTGCAAATTAAAATATGTTTATTAATAAGTTAAAGTTAAATGAAGGTTGAAGCTTAGAAATGACATCAAATGACAAAGGATGGTGAAATCCCACCCAAAAACCCCGACTCCCCACAAACACTCAAGTACCACCAGAACTTTTAGGAATGACAATGGTTGGCAGCTGTTTCAGAACAGACAAAACAAAATATTTAGCAAAAACTAATTTTTCACTACTTCAAGTTAAGGTGTAGTCACAGAACTGTGCTCTAGATGATACTGAAATCCTACTACAATTTCAATTTTCAAACAATTTTAGGCTTTGTAATAAACTAAGTAGACACCCATAGAAGCAACAGCAAATCCAAATGTTTATTGTTTGAAAACTGAATGGTATAACAACTACCGTAGAGTTGTACCATAGAACACTGAAGCAATATATATGTTCTTGAAAGCTATCTCCTCTTTCACGTCTCAAGGTTACCTGGCATGCGAACGCCTCTCTCAAAATAAGAGAAGAATTCTAGAAATTATGAGATCACAAATGCAACTCTTTATACATACTCCAGGGCTTCCTGGAGTTGGTGCATTACCCCCCCAAAAATCTGAAGTTCAAATTATTCCTCCCTCCCCCTGCCCACCCCAGGATGATGAGGTAGGTGCTGTTGTTTTAATGGTGAGAGAAAGCAGTTCACTCTGTGGCAAATACTCTGGCCCCTTGGCTATATTTAAAAAAAAGGGCCAGGAGGAATTCCAGGGATTTTTGTAGTGAGATAAAAAGAACTCTTGACCTTTTTCACAGAGAAAGGAGAAGGAGCTACTTCTACAATGAACAAGGCTTAAATTTTAAAGGCAGGGGCCATTGGGGAAACTTCTGAAGTTTGCCACAGGCAGGACCGTGCCCTTAATTCTTTCGCCCCTATTGCTAATTCTGTTGTCTCAACCTCCGAAAAAGACAACAAAAGTAGCTAGTGAGACATAATTCTCCCCTTTCACACCTACAAAGCATGGGCAGCACAGAACAGACACCATCTGGTTAAGGGGGCGTGGGGAGAGAAAGAGGGAGAGAGGGAGAAAGACCCACCCTCTGTGATGTGGCTACGACTTCTGTGCCTGTCACAAGAATGGGAAGAGAGTCCTTGACATCAAATATAGCATACAAAGAGAGGGCAGGAGCCACAGAGTATACTCACCACCTAAAAACAAGCTCATGACAATACCTCTGTTTTGTTCTTCATTTCCAGTACGGATTTGTCTTTACATAAACCTGCAGGAGTCTTAACAGCATGTTCACCCAACAAAATGAGGCTTAATCCTTCTGTTCCGTGTCCTCACAGGGCAGGTCACCCTTATCCATTTCTCTTTCTCTCTGGGAAGGCAGAAATACACCTTTCCCTTCCCACACGGTCTTGTGTTCTTGGTCCTGCCCACCCAAACCGCCCCCCCTTTCAAAAGGGTAGTGGGAAAACAATAGGCGAAAGTCTAAGAATATTTACTAACTGATAATCTCTTCACGTATTGCAGCAGTCTGTTTTTCCCTTTTCTGATAAAGATTTCAGAGCCAACCACTTCTGCCAACCAAAGAGGGGGGAAAGGCTGGTGCTTGGGCTCTAATCTTAGCACTTACCATTCACCTGCTGAGGGGAGTAAGCTTCGGATCCGGAGTCTGGGGGAGAGTCGGGTAAAGTGCTGAAGAGCAATTGAGAAAAAGAGAGGAAAAGGTCAAACAAATGTCTAGCAGAAGTGATTACGGTAAAATAGGTTCTGAATCTTAGGTAGATGGACTGAGAGAGCATATAGCCCCATAATCTACACCACCCCTGGTTAGCAGAAATTAATTATGAATTTGTCGTTAAGATTCTTGAATACAAATGCTTCTGAACCTGAACTCAATCTTATCTCTAATATAGCAGGTCATCCAGTAACAATTCCCTTCTACCAAAACCCTTTATTGCCAATAGCTGTTCCTGCCCAGAGTAGCAGGAAACCTTCCACTCTTAGCACTCCAAACAATTCACTACAGCCCTTCCCCAATGAAAAAGCAGGTATTCTCTCACACCCATACTATTCCTACCAGGAGCATTTTAATGTATTATTCTTAGGCATTTCATGTCATGACTTTTGTTTATCTGCTAAAGAGATCCACCCTACTTCACTCAGCAAGTCATCCTTTTCTGAAAGAAGCCAGACAGAATCTGTTGCTCATGAAGAAGATCCCCATCTTCACCGCAAATACAGAGAAGGACCCACTGACAACATTTCTGTAAATCTATGGGTCAAACTGTAGTTTCATCAGGTAGCCCTGAGATCACACAGAAAACAATTTCAAGCAAAACTAACTCAAGCATGACAAAGAATATGAATTAATGCTTTTGTAAATAAAATAATCTTCCAAAGATTCCACAGGATCAAACAACTTATTTAGCAATAGCACGTAGACTTATATACCACTTCATATTGCTTTACAGCCCTCTCTAAGTGGTTTACAGAGTCAGCATGTTACCCCCAACAATCTGGGTCCTCATTTTACCCACCTCGGAAGGATGGAAGGATGAGTCAACCTTGAGCTGGTGAGATTTGAACTGCCAAACTGCAGCTAGCAGTTAGTTGAAGTAGCCTGCAGTACTGCACTCTAACCACTGAGCCACCTCGGCTCTATTATTTCTTAAGTCAGTGAAATTAAGCAAAGTTTCTAGTCCTGGTGGTTTTTCTATAGCCAGGTGTAAAGATTTAATTGACTTTCTCATTTATATGGAGCTGAAAGTTTACATCATGGGTCCTCAAACTGTGGGCTGCGGGCTGAAGACATTAATCCGCAGGGCCACGAGGTTGCCCTGCCCACATTACCCCACACACCCTTCAGCAGAGCGCAGGGCTTGCCTTCGGGAGCCCTGCGGACTGAAACTGAAAGGTAAGCTCAACAAACTTGGCCTGCAGAATACTGCTGGAGGTGGTGGTAAAAGGAGGCCATAAAATGGGTGAAAATGGCCCGTTTTTCACCTCCCCTGCCTCCAGAAGATAGAGACAGAGAGAGAGAGACAGAAAGAGAGAGAAAGAGTGGGAGAGAGAGAGAGGGGGGAGAGAGAGAAAGAGATAGAGGGAGGGAGAGAGAGAAGAGAGAGAGGGAGAGAGAGAAAGAGAGGAGAGGGGGGGGAGAGAGACAGAGAGACAAAGAAAGAGAGAAAGAGAAAGAGAGAGGGAGGGGGAAAGAAAGAGAAGAGAGAGAGGGAGAGAGAGAGAGAGAGAGAAAGAGAGACAAAGAAAGAGAAAGAGTGGGAGAGAGAGAAAGAAAGAGAGGGGGGAGAGAGAGAGAAGGAGGGAGAGAGAGAAAGAGAGAGAGGGAGAGAGAGAGAGAGACAAGAAAGAGAGAGGGAAAGAGTGGGAGAGGAGAGAGAGAAAGAAAGAGAGGGGGGAGAGAGAGAGAGGGAGGGAGAGAGAGAAGAGAGAGAGAGGAGAGAAGAGAGGAGGAGAGACAGAGAGAGACAGAGAGACAAAGAAAGAGAGACAGAAAGAGGGAGGAGAGAGAGAGAAGAGAGAGAGGGGAGGGGGGAGAGAGAGAAAGGAGAGAGGAAAGAGAGAGAGGGAGGGAGAGAGAGAAGAGAGAGAGGGAGAGAGAAAGAGAGAGAGGGAGAGAGACAGAGAGACAAATAAAGAGAGACAGAGAGAGGGAGAAAGAGAAAGAGAGAGAAAGAGAGATTTCTCAAGCTCCTTGGGGTTGAGAAGAATGGCTGCAAAACTGAGTTTTCTGAAGTGGACCACTAGTCTCCTAAACAACTGAAAAAACAATTTAGTAAAAAGAAAAGGCAACCAAAAGAGCAACATGAAAACAAAAGCAAATAAAACACTCCCAGAGCAAAACAAATTAAAGTTTAGTTTATGTACATTGTTCAACGGACTGTTTAGGCCACGCCTAAAGCATGTTTTTCTCAGATGTTTTCCTTCCAATTTAGTTGATTGCATTAAAGTGTAGCCCAACCAATTGTTATTATTGCTATAATCAGTTCTTCACTATTAGGATATCCAGGTAATTCATTTTCTCCCCTTTTACTGAATTTGATTTTGGAATCTTTCATCTTATACATTAGGCAACCTAAGTATACTTTGGATATCATGACAGCAGCCACAGTAAAGTTTAAATTGTTGTCATATGCCCATGCTATTCTATGTCTTCCTGAGAATTACTAAAACTCTTGATCCAAATTAAGCATATTGTACAACACTATGGTAAATTATCAAGTTATTCTTATAATGAAAAAATGTATAATATATTTCCTATTATATCTAGATCTCTATGGATGTTTGTAAAAAATTTATTTTGTTTAACTCATTTCAGTACTTTAGAATAGTTATTTGTAGAAAGGTTTCCTCACTGACAGAGTTTTAAAGAGTGTTTTGGTAGCATTCTATGAGCTTAATGTAAAATTAATATAAAAAGAGAATATTTGGTGGGGGGGGATGTTACAGGCTACTCCAGTGGATATATAATATGGATTGAATCAATTTCTCTGTTAGAAATGTAATATTTTCAAGGAGATTCATATGTTTTGGATTTGTTCTATGGTAGCAACATTTTGTTTTAATATTCATAAGGTTGCTAATAGGGTGAGGAAAAAGAAGTAGGAGATAAAAGTGTGAATGTAATATTATATTTTGAAATTTGTAACTTAAGGAAGTATGAAGAATTTTGATTTACTATGAGTGGAATATAGCTAAACAGGTGAAAAAATATTAAATTTGATCTAAAAATTTGAATGGAAGACATGCATTCACTTTCTACCTATAAAGTGGCCTTTTATTGGCATTTTGTAAAGCCCAATCAACCATGTGGTATAGTTTTAAACTATTTTTGTTTCATGTATATTTATATTTATTTCAGAATCATTTTTCTTTCTGGTTCATTTTACCTGAATCTTCTTCCACTCTTTTTTTAATTTTGTCTATTGCTATTCTTTTTTTGTTTGTTTGTATATTAAATACCACAATACAACTTTTAAAAAGTAGAACAGTCTACACATAAACCCCCAACTCATATAAAATAGAAAAATCTCAAGAAAGAAACCAAATTTTATAGTTTCTGTTAACTTGTTATGTTTCTTTCAATGTAATTTTACTAATATATTTGTATTACCCCAGTCTGCAAAGAACATTACAGACTAATAAACAGAGTAGGAAACGATTTAGATTCTTTTAGATTTACTTCAAAGTGCAAAATATTTTCAAAAAATGTCATTTTTAAAGCAAAATTGAAAATGAATTCCTCAAAATTAACAGCTAGTTCTTGGTGTTTCAAAACCAACCTATTTGTTCCATAAGGCAATCTTGCAAGTTTCTAACAGGTCAGTGAGGTCAGTCCCAGCTTAAAAGTCTGATTCTATACATACCTTCCAGCAGCTGATAACAACTGCTATCAAAATTGAATGGCAAAGTCAAGTAAACAGAAATAAGCCAGTTGAAAGTGAAAAGGTACAGAAGAAAATTTAGTAAAACCCAAATAGAAAATGAGTTAATGGAGAGTCAGTTCAGGACAACTCTGAATTTCCCACTTGGGTGGGATAATCAGGGTAACTGTCTGAAGTGCAGGTCACTAGTTATACTTATGCCATAGACTTTTACACTTAGTACACGTAGTACAACAGTACTAATGGCTAGACCAGGGGTGGGTTCTACTTACTTTTATTACTGGTTTGCAATGGGGCCCCGCGCGCACACTCACTTCGTACACACGCGCACTCTTCTGCGCAAGCGCAGAAGCGTTTTGATGATGTCAGGGTCAGTGGGCGGAGCCTCCTGCCGGTTTTACTACCGGTTCTATAGAAGTCCTTAGCTGCAGTTCATTTAAACATTTAAAGTTAGTGGACCTATCAATTTACATGGTAGTTCACAGTCTTTACTTTTCGTGATGACAAGAAAAATAGTGAAAACTCTAGTTTTCATAAAGCAGATAAGGTTTTGAAATTAAGATAACTTGAAAATGAAAATGAAAGGAGAGAAGAATATGTTACATCAGAATGGTTTACAGCACTGAACATATTTAAGTTTAGTCTATGAAAAGAATTAGAAAGCCTGGTGAAGACAGTGAAACAATTAACATGCAAACTGAAGTATATTTTAATTTGAGGTAGAAGACAAGAATGTGAGGTTTTAGGCACAGACTTAAAAACGATGATAGCACAGAGGAAATTTGTTCTGTCCTCAGGACACCAACCAAAGGCAATCTTCTAAGTACTGATTTATCAGTATGTTACTTGCCCCCAATAAAGTACTACCTACTTTGTTGTTGTTGTTTTTCTACAGGTGGGGTATACTTTCAAACAGAAGTTTGATCTACAGCTACCTATCAGTTTTTATTTTTTAAAGATTCTTAAGGCCCATAGAGGTGAACTCACCATTTTTCTAAGGCACCAAAATGAAACAGGGAACCAGATTTCAAGGGGCTGGGGGGGAATCAAAACTGCCCTTGAGATTTGTGAATGGCAGCAGCAACTGCAAGGTTTGCCTAGCAGCTATCTAGAGTTGCCATTGAGTATGGAGTCATTTAAGGTCTAAAGCTATTCATTGGGGGAGGAGGGGGATGACACAGAAAGCTATGCTTTGCTTTGTAATTATATGCTTGCTTCTCACTTAAAAAAAATGAAATAACATTTTAAAGGGTAATTAGTCAAGACTGGCAAGTGGGTGTCTTATGGGTATCCCAGATCTGTGCTGTTCCCTTGGTTTCATTTCTCTCTGTATGACTTTTTATAGACCAGATGCATGATCCAGGATTTCCAGATTTGAAAAGTTACTTGGGGTAGCCCTAATCTTATCTAAATATGCATATTTTGAAAATCAAGACAAAACATCTTGATCTGTCTGTCAATATTTATGTGACTGAAAAGAACGCTCTTTTTTTGTGTGGTTGTTATCTCTGAGCAATTACAAATTAGAAATGGTCAAAATCTCATGAGATTTCAGCATATATTTTTTTTTAAAAAAATGGGGTGCATGAGTGCCATCTAGTGGTGTTATATCTGTCATAATGCCTGCGCTGTCATAATGCACGGGCAATCCCAAGTGTGAACTATGAGGCAAAGGCACACACTGGAATAAGGGACATTCCTTATACCTGATAAATAAATTTCCTCTTATTCGATGGGAAAAATTGTAAATACAAAACCACGATCTAATTTTGTCAGTCTAAGCTAAGAAAGGTCTAAGAAAGGTGCATTTTGGTATAAGACGTCTTCAGGACACACACCCAAATATAGTGTTATCTCAGGTTAGCAAGTGAAGTCCAAATCTATCTACTTTCTCAAGCCCACCTTCCAGTTTTTAACTCTTGTGTAGGAGTCAACTCAAGCCTAACTAATCTTATGCTCGAATCTCATCAATTGCATGCTTTAAATTTTGTGACTCATCCTTCTTTAGAAGATTAGAATATCCATAAATGTTTTGTGGAATCATTCTGTCAACAGCTAGGAAGCATTGCTAAGCCAGTATGCAGTTGACTTTATAAGCATAATGGTTTCTGTAAGAAATCTGAATTATTGGTCATTTTTGTTTCACTATTATTTTTTTCTGGAAAATTTCTTTATAATATTATAATTTTATTTCCTGTCTATCTTAAACAGCCTTTTGGTTTTCTATTTTGGCATTATTTTCACACATCCCTACAAAACTGCAATGAAGATTCATTATTTCATTTACTTGAACTGAAGTCCTTCTCTAATTGTCCCAACTCTCTTTAAGCTCTCTTTTGCAGAAGTCAGCAAATATATAATTCCTTTAAATCTTTTCATAATCTCTTTTCCACTAAAACAACATATCCCATCTCTGTTTTAAAAAAATGAAATTTGATCTGGATTCCACATATTAGTCAAAAGGATTTATAATGTAAAACCCACAGATGATCTAATTCAGTTCCCTAAAACTGAGTCACATTTTTAAATTCAGTCTCCCTGTCCAATCCCCCATGTTATGTTTGAAACACTAAGATGACATTGGTTGGTAAGAGACATTACAGATTTGTTCACATTGTTTTATGTCTTTAAACCACTTTAATTATTTATCAATTTAAGGCCCTGGAAACTTATATTTGCATAACCACAGTCCCTTACTTACCCAGATGTGTAGGAGGCTTCTGATTTGATTGGAGGAGGTATGTTGGACAGGCAGTGGCCACTGAGAAACCCTTTGGGTACTACCATGCCATTGTTGTTATTGCAGTTGAGATGGGCACTGTAACTGGGCCCACATGGATTTGGCAAGGGGGGACCGTGCCGTATTGGAACTTGACTGCTCGAAGGGCCAGGATGGAGACCATGACGGACTGGGACTTGGGTGCTTGGGGGACCATGATGGAAGTTACCACTGGGTACAGGAGTAATTACATGACCAATACTGGAGACAGATGCATTGACAGTGGCAGAGCTGGCAGGCTGAGTATGAGGATAACCGGCTGATGCTGGAATGTCAGAGATGGAATCTAAATCAGAACTGAAAGAGAAAAGTTGGACCATTTGTGTAATATGTGCATCTTGCCACTCTGACGTAATATAAAGACTGTATCTATTTCTAATCATATACATTGTTGGACTCAGCCATAATGTCAACCCAGGATTTTTAACCAGGGTTTTTCTTTTTTGAACAAATTTATTGGCTTGATCTGCACATCTAACTTACTCTCAGTGGATAGGTTCAAACATAAAGGAAAGCCAAAAGCAAAACCTGCAGTATTCCACCTTTAGGAAAATATGTAAAAGTACTGGAAAGAATGGAAGCAAAAGATGAAGAAAATATTAGCTCACACCACCATAATCTCATATGCAACCCTCATTATCACTCTTACATCAAACAACATCATGGAGTACTAAGAATAAAAGTGAAAGTGAAAAAGGACACTTACATATCTTGTGAGTCCTCTTTACCGATGTATTCTTCCAGGATGCTGGTGTCAATGTTTGATGCTTCAAGAGCTCCGTTAATATCATGACCTGAAAGAAAGACCAGATATCACATAAAATAGCAAAAAAACAAAACAAAAAAAAAATCCAGACAAGATCAGTCATTTTCTATAAGGAGCTCTGATAATTCCCCATAACAAAACTTCTGATTTAAATAACAGAATTTACTTTAAAATGTTAATTGAAATAGAAAAGGAAATCCAACCCAGATGATAAAAGTATTTATTACTCTAGAATAATCAGCTGGAAGAATGGAAACCATTTTATTCACAAAGTTTCATGCATCTAAAACAGTTTGTATATAACATATATAGTGGTAAGGATGAGAGGGGGGAAATGGAGCTAGAATTGACACTGAATCATGTGAACACAAAATTTGTTGCAAAATGTTGATGAAGATTCTCAGTCATCCAGGCAGAGATGTCTGAAATTGTCTGAAAGTTGAATCTTTGTAATGGGACTAATTTTTAATTTCAGAGACGTTTCACTGCCCATCCAGGCAGCTTCCGCAGTCAGCGCAAGGCGGTTAGGCAGAGAATCATTGGGATGTACCAATTCCTGCCACACCAACCTCAGGGGATTCTTTCCTAAAATGATTCAATGATTCAACCTTCTGACATCTCTGCCTGGATGATTGAGAATCTTCATTGTCAAATCATGTGGTTTGTTTCTACAAAAAGCTATAAACTATTAAGATGATTTATTTGCCATATTGAAACAATATTCTGTCAACTGACTATCTTAACAGGAAACACTGCACTTTCTTAAGAGAAATAATTAATTCCAGTCTATTACTCTGAGCTAACCAAAATCAATGACTGCTCTGCTGCTTCTTATATTCCTGTCATAGTTCTAAATAAAGTTTTCTACCTTTTCATATATTAAAGGCTGATTGGCTGTCTGGTTGGCTTGCAGGCTTCATATGACCTTCATCCAGTGGTGAAATCCAAATTTTTTGACTATCGGTTCTGTGGGCGTGGCTTGGTGGGCATGGCAGGGGAAGGATATTGCAGAATTTCCATACCCATCCCACTCTGGGGCCAGCTAGAGGTGGTATTTGCCGGTTCTCCGAACTACTCAAAATTTCCGCTACCAGTTCTCAGAACTGCTCAAAATTTCCGCTACTGGTTCTCCAGAACCTGTCAGAACTTGCTGGATTTCACCCCTGCCTTCATCCCTTCAATACCAACCAACATCCCCTATCAAGATTTGGTAACCCAATAACAGGAACAATTTTTTGTATTGCCCCTATGTCATGAGAACCGGGGAGAAAGGAGGGGGGATAAAATAAGAAGTAAAATCATGTTTTAAGCTCCTGTGGCTTTAAGCCACTGCTTCTTAAAGTGTGGTCTGCCCCAAGAGATGTACAACAGGGATCTATAGCATCAAAATTATTTGCCAGATATTGAAAATATTTGCAAAACATTGAAGCACTATTACTGTTTTCATGATTGCTTTTTACTTGATAAAAGTTTTACTTTGTTAAAAAAAAGTTTCATGAACATTTTTTATATATGTTAATATATTATGGGTGTGATATTGCTATTTTTGCGGTATTCAATAAATATTCAACAATAGTATCCATTTTAATTTTAATGCAGTAAATGTCAATAAATATAACTCATACAAACACAAGCTCTTTTGGAGTCCTCCATAATTTTTAAAAGTGAGAACGGGTCCTAAGAATAAAAAGTTTAAGAAATGTGCTTTAAGCCTTCTCTTCTACGTAGAACAATCATTCCAATTTAAAATCAGAACAGTAGAATAGAACTTTCAATATCTATCCTATCTGGAAATGTCCCTGTATCAATGCCAACATATCTCTTGCATAGTGGTGAGATCCAATTTTTTTTACTACCAGTTCTGTGGGCATGGCTTGTTGGGCATGGCAGGGAAAGGATACTGCAAAATCTCCATCCCTCCTCACTCCAGGGGAAGGATACTGCAAAATCCCCATTCCCTCCCCACTCCTGAGGGAAGGATATTGCAAAATCTCCATGCCCACCCCACTCTGGGGCCATCCAGAGGTGGTATTTGCCAGTTCTCCGAACTACCCAAAATTTCCACTACCAGTTCTCCAGAACCTGTCAGAACCTGCTGGATTTCACCCCTGCTCTTGCAGTTCTTGCCACTGAGCTTTTAAGTTTCATAAATTATTATTATTATTATTTTTAAAAAGAGCAAAAAGACTAGCTCACGCTGCCTCAAGTAGTAACTGGTTTCTTTTTCCATTGTCTTACAAAATTCTCTTCTTGCTTTTGCATTGTAAAAATGCATTGAGTTCCTTGATAGAAAATGCTTGCTTTATATAATTCCTGGGAGCCAGAAGTTCTCTGGATTTTAGATACTACTCCTGGTGCTTAAAATATTTTCAGTGAAAAGGGAGAAGGACTGCTATTCAGAGATGCAATAAATTAAAGACATTTTCCTGAATTCTCATCTCATTAAAATGCTATGCCTATGCTCACTAGATAAACACACACATACAATTTCCCACCCCAAAATCTTGTTCTACCCTCCCCGCCCCCACAAGAAGCATTCTGGTTCAAGATTAATCCTCCATCCCCACACCCTCCTAAAGGGGAAAAAAAAGTGGAATAAAACAAAAAGAGTTGGTTTCAACCTAGAATTGCATCCAATGAAAATCTTTTTCACTGCTAGGGAAACAAATCAGCAGAAATAAATCCAATGAGGAATTTTGTCAGAGGAATCCATGAGTGTGCTTAGAAAAGTAGAGAGTAAAAAAGGAAAGAATCAGGGTTTTGCTTTTTTTTTTTAATCACACAAATTGGGAAAGAAAGGGCTGGGACAGGATGTAATGAGAAAGCCTCCAGTTCTGTATTTGCTACCCTGTGAAGAATCCACTAAATCAAAATCACCTCATTCCCTGCTTATTATTATAATAGGAAAGCAATGGCTTAATCCACACTCTTATCTTTATCTGTACAGGTAGTCCTCAACTTACAACAGTTTGTTTAGTGACTGTTCAAAGTTACAACGGCATTGAAAAATGTGACTTACAAGTTACGATCGTTTTTCACAGTTACGAACTTTGCAGCATCCCCGTGGTCATGTGATCAAAATTCAGATGACTGGCAACTGGTTCATATTTATGACCGTTGCTGTGTCCCAAGGTCATGTGATTTATCTTTTGCGACCTTCTGACAAGCAAAGTCAATGGGGAAACCAGATTCACTTAACAACTGTGGCAAGAAAGATCGTAAAATGGGGCAAAACTCACGTAACAACGATCTCACTTAACAACAGAAATCTTGGACTCAATTGTGGTCGTTAAGTCGAGGACTACCTGTACTGATGCTACTTTGAGAATTAGCATTCTTCTTGAAGTTCAAGACTTGGTGCTCCATTGGTTTCCACATTTCCTGCATTTTGACATCCATTTTCTAATTATGCCTATCTTCTTGTTTAACTGGTATTATTTGTATTCTATCCTGCATAGCTTTTCTTACGTTTAACTTATATTTTAAAATATTTTTTTCTTACAGGATGGAATTGGCCTCTGTATATGGTTAGCCACTATTAAAAGCATTATTTTTTAAAAAATAATGTTTTAAGTCCCTTGTCAGTTTATTTAACAAATGCCTTTTCAAGAGTCCAATGGCAGTGTGTTACTTTCCCTCTTTGAATCATATGAAATATCAATACATTTAGAGGCATGTTTTCCATTATAAGCATTACATTGATTCTTCCATGTGGTGCTGCTAATAGATCTTTCTGGTGACATTGCAATGTATAATTCCCAACAGAGATCAATAGGAGTTTTTCCAGGAAGATAACAAGTAGGGCATGAAAGCAAGATTTCGGCTAAGCAATGCCTAACTTGCCTCAAGTGTTAGTTCAATGTCTAATAAATACTGTGGTCAGTTTTCATTTTCATTATGTTCAGATCAGAGGTGGGTCTCAGCAGGTTCTGACCAGTTCTGGAGAACCGGTAGCAGAAATTTTGAGTAGTTCGGAGAACCGGTAAATACCACCACTGACTGGCCCCGCCCCCATCTATTCTCTGCCTCCCGAGTCCCAACTGATCGGGAGGAAATGGGGATTTTGCAGTAACCTTCCACTAGAGTGGGGAGGAAATGGGGATTTTACAGTATCCTTCTCCTGCCACGTCTACCAAGCCATGCCCACAGAACTGGTAGTAAAACAATTTGAAACTCACCACTGGTTCAGAAACAGCATTTGGAAATAAATCTTGAAATGGATATTTGGTGAAATGGATAATGGTGAAATGGATATTTAAAATATAGGAATATAGCTAAACTCAATAAGGCAGTATCATTTTTATTCTTTTCATAGTAGTAGAATTTATTTGATATCCATTCTGAACAAATTCTGTTGCAACAATCACAGCTCTTTATTTTCTAACATTTGAAAGCAATAAATTGATCGGCTACATTTAGTAAGCAAATCTGTAAGGATACAAATCAGAAGCAAATAAAGAATTCAAGCGAAAAAAGAAATCTATTTCTGTGTTGTATGTGCATGTTGGATTATAACTCACATGTTCAGAAAGAATGGCATATTGCTTTTCCTAGCCAAAAAGTCATGTGTGGATCTGGCAAAATAAATAACAAATGCTGTTTATTTCAAGCTTTTCATTGTGGCTGTTCCACCATGGTATTATTTTTAGCTTGAGTGGTAAATCTGCCAGCCATCTTGTCTTGAAGGTCACCTTCTTGAAGAACCTCAAAAGGAACCCAAGCATAGGTGAGATAAGCAACCAGAAGCAGGACGCATTTTGGTTGGATATCTTAGGAACTAGAGAACTGATAAGAATTCTTTTTTTTAAAGAGTGCCAAGTCCTATACTGTAGTTTTGATAAGGGAAGAGCTTTTCCGTTTCTTACTTTAAAATAAGCAAAGTCTCTGAAGAGTTTTTCCCAACTTTAGACTAGACGCTAGAGGAATTTGAATTAGCCACCCTAAATTAGCATTGGTTGACATGTCATTCCAAGTGTCTCAATATGTTATTTTTTCCCCATGCTGTTTCTTGCCTTAATACTCAACTCT